AGAGAACAAACAAACAGCTTTTGAAATCTCTCTTTTATCCCAAACATATTTTATTACAATGTTGTTTTTTTTTATAGATTTCCCTCAATCGCAAAAGAACCACCAAAGAAAGTACCAATTTGGCTTGGGAGGAACCGGAGACTGTGCCATCAACTTCCGCTCGGCCGATGGGACAAAAGGCCAGTAAGATTTCAAAGAGAAACCAAGAAGGTGGCCCTACACATGCCGGAGTTGCAATGCCTAAAGTTGGTAACATTTTGGCTGCTGTTGCACAAGAAAAACTTGAGTACAGCAAGCAAAAAGCAGTCGCCTTGAGCAGAATAGCCAATCATCAGATCATGTCGATGGACTTAACTAATTTAAATGAAACTGCCAAGGAATACTATCTGTTGGAACAAAAACGGATTTTGCACGAAACCAGAGAGCAGGCACGGCTAGAAATGGAAGCGGAAGGGCTTACTCTGGATGATGACTGGGTAAACATAAATGATTCTCCGGAAGATGAGCATGATGCCTTGGATAGAAACATTCATGCACAAAACAGCGATTTCGACAACAGTTTTTAACCTTGTTTTTATCAATTATATCTAAGGTTTACTTAATGTTTTTTTTTTTTTTTTGTTAAAAAGTATAAACTTTTGCTAGTAAGCATTAATTTGTAAATCTATAAATATGTAAAAGTTAATTATTTTTGTACTTACTGATATATGTATTACACGATTCCAAGATCTATATATGATAAAACACAGGCTTCCCATACTAACATAAGGTGCATCAACACCACGAAAGATCCACATGACATGTGGATTAGCGGGGTCTATTCAGTTTCTGAAAAAAAATTTATTGTATAATTCAAATACAGCATAAAAATTACTTATATTTGGTCAGGATTCTGCCAAACCACACCAAACCCCAAATACAATGGGTGGAAGCGGAACGGAAACGCCAAGGACGGAAAGATCAAAGCATTTGATCGTGTTTTTGAAAAATCCTGCTGATATCGATCCAGTTGGATTATTGTTTTCATTTTAAGTTCTTTTATTTTTCATACAAAGGTCTCTTTTATCCTCGCTTTTATCTACATTTTTTCATTAGAATACAGGACTGCGTTTGTAATTTTATGCGCCGGTTTGCATGACGCAATTGGATCGGAATTCAACGGTATGTTTCGGTATTTTAATCCAGACGGTTCAAATGCTTATAAACCATGACATGTGGTTTAGGATATCTGAAGCTGATTTATCTTAAGCCATCGAATAATTTGGGTTAACAACATTTTACTGCCGGTTCCGTCCATTGTAATTTCTGCAATATGTTTTTGTTCAAGCTTCTTCCATTACCCATTGTTTACATCCTGTTGATACATCTAACGGAGCGTCATACCGCAAATAATCCGGCTATATAAAAGTGTACTACTACCGGGACGTCTAATGTTTCAGGACAGCAGCCATCGAATCTTCGGTGCCCCTAAGTCATCAGTAAATTATCTAAAGACGCAGAAATTTTATTTCCCATTCAATAGGATCAACAAATGATTTCAACATAGCTTTAGTGTGGTTTCCGATATCAATTAGAAACTCCATACCTCCGTTTTCTTTGTATTTAAATTGAAAATCCATTTACCATTAATTGAGTATTTTGTGAAAATTCAACCATCCACCGTTGCATGCTCGGAGATTGAGAAATGCCGAAAGATTCATGATGATCTTCTGATCCTCTTTTAATGGTTCCAATCGAGTTCATTTTATATTTAAATATTATTTAATAGTAGTAAAAAACTACCCTACTCTTCGTCACCTTTTCGATTCCAGAGGTGCTCAATAAAATCGTTCTGCAACTGTTGATGAAGTTTGGAATTGTGTATTTCATTGTACTTATCAACAAATGCTGCAAAGTCGTTACTAGGTCTCATTCGTTCATGAGAGCCGATATACTCTTCTTCAATATACTTGTAGGAAGTATGATCATCCCGCTCATCTTCGATGATCATATTATGAAAGATGATACATGTACGGATAATCGATGACAAATAGCCTGGCCGCATTTTTTATGATGGCGAAACGAGCCATAAGCACAACAAAGGCTCGCTCAATATCCTTTCGTGCTGCCTCCTGCCTTTCGGCAAAATACTGCAAAGTAAATTAAGAATTGACTTTTAATTGTCTTGTTGGCCGAACGATGCCGTTCAACAACCTTTATGATGTGCTTAACGATTTACGCATTCAAGCTATTGGTTCACCCGAACCCAGGGTTACTTCCACTCACTTGCTATAAAAAAAATGTTTTTCGGAATTATAAAATCATGATATAGTATAATACTAATTAGTACTTGTAAGTTACAAGAAGAGATCATGAAGTATATGTAAGACACATAAAATCTGTCAAAATTGCTTTCAGTGCGTCACAATCAGCGATTTTACGACTCGTTCACTCTGAGTGAACGCCCACGAATCATAAGATCGCTAATTGTGACGCCCTCAAAGCGAAATTGACAGGTTTTATGAGTCAAACACATACTTTACTACTTTTTCTTGTTACTTACAAGTACAACATAGCATTATTGCATCTAATGATTGCATAATTCCGAATTTATTTTTTTATAGCAAGTGAGTGGAAGCAACCCTGCCCGAACCTGTAGGCCATGACTGCACAGTTTGTCAGAAATTTAAATTTTGCTGTAAAAAATCCAAGTTAATCAACATTCTTCCACCAATGCATTAATATAGATAGATTTTGAAAACGACTGCTTGGGTCATTTTAGATCTATGTATTCCTCGCTAAAAAATTTCAAATTATGAGAACCCTTTAAGCCATTTCCAAAACCTATAAGCATTGATTGAGTGAAGTTGATTGGCTTAATGTTATTATTTATTTTTTTCATTTTTGCCGCGAAATTTCATTTTTTGTCCCATTGTGAACTGCCCAAATTGGGAACAAATTTTAATTAATATCAAAACAAGAACACTTTCCCTTTATAAATACTACCTTTCGTTTTTGTCCAACGGGGGATGATATTGTCTCTACCAGCGTGGCAAGTGGCGGATATATGCCGTCCGCAAGGTAGTATCCAGTTGAGTATTTACGGCCATTGAATTCGTATTCAATTGTAGGAGTTTCACAGTTATATAGCTTTGTGAATAGTGGTGACCTGTCCAGCACGTTGATATCGTTATTGGATCCAGGCATTCCAAAAAAAGCGTGCCATATCCAAAGGTCCTGAGGTGCAACCACCTCAAGAATAATGGTGAGTTTTTCTCTTTTCCCTTATACTGCCCCGCCCAGGCTGTCGGACAATTTTTCCATTGCCAATGGCAACAATCAAGTGACCCAAGCATCTCATGGAAACCTCTCTCTTCCCTAACTTTTAACAAGCGTTTCACATCGCAGCTTGTTGGAGCGCGTAAGTATTCTTTGCTGAAGATTTTATCGACAATGAAGCAAAACTCAACGAGGCATTTTCGGGACGTTGATTCCCCCATTCGGACGTATTCGTCAATAGCGTCCGATGGTGAACCATATGCCAATTGACGGATTGCTGCCGTGCACTTTTGCAGACATGACAGTCCTTACTTTCCCGTTGCGTTTGGTTTCTGAACGAAATATTCATTAGATTCCATTGCAGTTTTTAGCTTTAAAAACAGTCTCCTACTCATACGAAAACGGCGCCGAAATTGCTCGTCCGTGTACACAGGTGATTTCGCAAAGTAATCCTCATGAAGCCGGATAGCCCCTTCCTCTGCATATCTGTTTATGTTCGGTCGCTTGCCCATCTGGGAGCCACCTCGTCCTCTTGCGATGTTTGACGGCATCCCGTACGAATAAAAAAGCATATGATGAAACACTTGATCTTCTTCGTCGCTGGATTCGGAGAAGTAATCCAGTATCTGCTCAATGGTCTCCATTTCGCACTATTTTAATCTTTATTCGGTACTTTAATTTCCGAGGCAAATCAAAACAACCGTGCTGTCACTGTTATGAAATCGACAATAGCAACGACTGGTGCGAATCTCAAAAGTCAAATTGCCAACGCATGATAGTCACTATTGGTGCGTGGATGAGTTGTCAGCTTAAATAGCAGCGCCTAGGTGGTTAAAATAGCGGCTTTGAATAGCAACGCACAGGAGGGGGTGCTCTAAGGCCCAAACGCAATGTGGGCGGAAGCGGAACGGAAAGTTTGACAGTTGTCACTAATGACATCAAGATGCCTAACCGAAGTCGATTTGGATCTAGTTTTCAATCCGACAAGTAGGCTTACTCAGATCGGGCTTTTCCGCTGACGTTGCCGTTCCGATTCCACCGTCTTTGCGCTTGGGCCTTTACGGTTGCTCTAAAGAGATAAAATCTACTAATAGTGAATTTGTTTATTATTCAGTTCCAACCTGGATCGAGTATCAAGATCGGCTCTACTTGTTTTCTGACAAACGTCAGTTTGATCGTTCGTTTTTCAAACCCACCTCAGGTTGAGGTTCGCACTGACAAAAATTTCGGTTTCACACTGGGTTGGAACTGGTTCCAACCCCGATAATAAACAAATTCGCTATGAGTAAGGTGCTCATTATGCCCCATTCACGTGGTTTGAGACCACAAACCTACATTGTATGTTTTAGCATAAAACCCAGTTTAGCAATACATTTCGTACAGTAATGTAGACTATTCTTCTTCTTATTATTAATTCATTTATTTAACGTCGGTCTCTGTTCCACAATCCAGTATTAACAATCAACGGACATCGATTCATCCTTTGACTACATTGAATGTGCAGGGAGGCACACATCCGTTGGATATCGCACCCATCATCAACACACATGGGCTGGGACCTACTTCTTTCTACTTCCGAAAAACGACGTGACCAGAGATTTTATGCCTCAGAATTATCCCAACGACCTCGGCTGGGATTGAACCCGGCCCCCGTTGGGTTTTCGGGGTTGTGACTTTCGGGGTAGTGTCATAGAGTTTTAACCCCACATAAAGTTCTGAACACCATATTTTCTAATACTCACTTGATGTCCTCCGGAAAGTCCGTACTGTTGACGATGGCCCTATTCTTAAGGGACAACTCGTCCGTAGGACATTTGGTTGCTTTCATCATCTGAAAATTGAGTTGAATCATTAATCATTTGTCGTGCTAATATACTAGGTACAATCACTTCAACACTTACAACTGCCATCGTGATTGTGAATTACAATATCAACAGCAGATATTCGTCTCCAGAATAGATTTTGCTACGGTTTCCTCTCAAAATTGTATTTTGCCTAGATTTTCAAAGAGGGGAAAAATCGATATTTTGATGGCTCCCGTAAGTTGGAATGAAAATTTTACCTAGCAATTTCCTTTCGCCAAAACTTGTAGCGCTCGATAATTTATTGTTCAATTTCCTATTGCACTTACAACACCATGGGATGAGCACTTCTTGCCAACTTCAACTGCTTGCAAATCCTCCGAAATGACGAATAATTTTCACGGCTGCAGCAGAGGATAAGGACACTGCAGTAGTTATCCAGCGATTATTCCTACTGTATCCTTACAGGCAGCCAGTAGAAAATCAATGCGCACGTCGAGTTTTCACGGTTTTCACTCGATTCCTTCCCACCCCCAGCTTTGTTGATATGACTAACACGGAGGAAAAACGGGAAAACTGACGTTTCCTTCTGATGGCAAGCTGAACATTGCATTAGGTTCTATGTAACATTGATGGATTTTCTTCGTGGCCTTTCTCTTTCGTTAATAACTTGAGCACATAACCTTTTCTTGTTGTGTTTGTCACATTAGGTGCTAGATAAAAGCTTATTTTAACGATATGTATGCTGAAAATACCTGGCAATATATTTACATGGTCGTGGGGATACAAAGAGAAAGCCGGCGAAGAGAATCTGACAATGTTACTTAGGACCTAATGCAATGTTCAGCATGATGGTTGATCGTTGATGATGATGACTCGCTGACTGACAACTCACACCAGTGCTGCCAAGTTGTAGACGAAGCAAAATCCATTTGAAAACGACAAATTCACACACAGTAATCCCTCCATATATTCGGAGGGTGGTACGTACCGTGCACCTACCACTGTTTTTCGGCTGTCCTTTCCCTAATAAACAAATACCATAAACGAACTGAATCCCGGATGGGTAAACTATACCACAAATGGTTTGGATGATACCCCGAACACGTCGTTAAGCTCTCTTTTATGGTTATTTTTATTAGGGTTAACCAATCACGCTTTGTATGTGATTAGTGTCAACCGTACACCGAAAATAGTTTTCATGTAGCTTCCATTGGAAACGCAAATGATTTTCATCCATAAACAAAATTAATGGAATTCATCTGAATTTCACATAACATTTATGCGATCACGTTAATTCTATATGATTTTTCATATGAATTTCATCGGCCTCATAATATTCATGTGATTTTGTGGTGGGATTTTTAGCTATGTGATCACATGAAAGCTATGTGAAATTCACATGGTTTTCATCCATTAGATATGTGACAATTTTTTTGAGTGTAGTTATATACCTATAAAAAATGTGAGAAGTCTAGTGATCGAATTTAATGTTACTTTTTGTTTCCTTCGTGTAGCCTAAAGTTCATCAGTTAGGTCAAAGTTGACGTGCGGTCAATTTTTGTGTGTGCGTACGTACACAGCAAAAAAAGTTGTTGAATATTACATCGAAACTGCTGCAACCAGGTCAATCCATCGGTTGTGTAATATCACATTGTACAATGTACATCGATTTTGCGAACAAAATTACATCCATTGATGTAATATTTTTTATATCCATTAGTTTTTAATAATTCTTTTACCTATTATTTACAGGAATTTTATAACATGAGTCGGAGGAATCAAAAAACAAGTGTTGTTTGTTCTGCAGCCAACAGAATCTGACCTCGAGTGCCAGCTCGCTGTGTTATTTATTGTTTACCATCATTGCGTTCATTTCTACAATACATATACAAACATTCATTATTCGAGTGCTACACATAATCGTTAGCTTATCGTTTTAAGGGTGGTATGCACCATAGTTCTTCTCCCTTAAAATTATCTATTACTTCAAAATACTAATATTTGAACGTGGACTACGTATTTTAATTTTCGCGTTTAATAAATCAGCTCAATAAGGAGAACTTCAAAAATCAAAGGCAACTTGATTATTTCTGAAATAACAAATCACAGTGAAAACATCACATTTACGGAATTCCGACAACTTTCATTTAAACACAAACCTTACCAGTAAGTAAATTTACGGTTCTATTCGGCCCATTGGCGTTCACAAAAAAAAACCCTTTCAATACTGACATTATTATCGTCTAATAGGGCAACCCCGTTGGCGACCAAGCTGGCCCAATTGACCTATATAAAAAACGAACTGCTTGGTGTCCATATACGGATGTTTCCGTCCAGCACCGCTTCGAAGCATCCTCCATATTCATCAAGCGGGAAAATGATTCACTTTAGCAACAATCCACCATTGCATCACACATGTATATCCAGATGGATCACAACAATCAGCCACTTGGCCGATGTGGAATTCCACACATGCAAACCTAAACAAAAGAAACAAAAGAAACCCACTCTTATTTTTATTGTCTTGAACTTCTTCAAACTTTGTCCTATGGAATACTGTCGTTTGTCCATTTTTGTATTAACAATTCCTCCTTTCATTCTTTATTTATTATCGTTCATAATACATCACTACCAAAAATAAAATGGTGCTTTAAGCACATTTATGCTGCAGTCATTGCGGTCGTCACTTTTTATAAGACATAGAACATTAATTTTCTCGCAAATAGTCTTTTTACTCACCCACCATGATGATATCTTACCCTTGGTCTTATCAAAACAACAAACAAATAATAACATTGGCTTACTTCAAGCCAGGGCTGATGGAATTCCATCTCAATCTTCCGTACAATGTTGCAATCTGGTAATTCTCCTACTCGTTTTCACTTAGCAGCCAGTTGGCTTTAAACGGATAGTTCAGTCACCGATGCAACTCCGCAGCCATACCGTAGATTTCAGCCAGTCGGTAGACGAAGTAAAGCTTCTTCAGCACTAATGCACACAGAAATCTTTTTACACGCGTCCAAAATTTCACACTCGTCGCCACTTTTATATCCATTAGTTTTTAATAATTCTTTTACCTATTATTTACAGGAATTTTATAACATGAGTCGGAGGAATCAAAAAACAAGTGTTGTTTGTTCTGCAGCCAACAGAATCTGACCTCGAGTGCCAGCTCGCTGTGTTATTTATTGTTTACCATCATTGCGTTCATTTCTACAATACATATACAAACATTCATTATTCGAGTGCTACACATAATCGTTAGCTTATCGTTTTAAGGGTGGTATGCACCATAATATTGTATCTGCGTTTTGCTATTACATCATTATTTCATACATCAGCTTGAATTACGTTAATCGATATTACATTTTTTTTTGCTGTGTAGAGAAAAGGTAAATTGGTGGATAATTGTTTTGTGTGGAAATTTTATTGTTAACGCGTCGAACAGCCGTTCGACGGCTTTTTATGTAGGATTCGCTTCTAGCGATATACGGCCGAAGCTCGGCACACCGCATCTCGAGATAAAGCGTGACTCTCGACCCCACGATTCTGTGTCAAAAGTCCTGGCTTGAGGGGATAGCCGGAAGGAAACAAACCGTTTCGACAGAGCGGCCATTTTGCCATTTCCGCCACGTGTAAAACATCGACGCCCCAACGTCGTCTACAGCGCCAATTCATTTCGGCGTGATTTCAGTACCAGCTTCGAGACCATCCATCGACTGGGAATTTCCACAGCATCATCGCCAATCGCCGCATTTCGGGCGATAGCCACAATACCGCCGCAAACCAGCCGGTATCTGCTTTGCCGACCAATTCATCAGGCAGCTATTTCGGTACCGTGAGTAAACCCAACAATTAATCTAACCATGCGCATGCGTTAACGACACCACACACACAGCACGAAGAGCTCGATGAGAACAACTAGCTAGCGATCACTAGATCAAAATCCGCACACAGTAGGGAACTAGAGAGGAAGAAACACGAATAATGAAAACCTAGGTTATGCAATTAAATAAACTTACTAAAATGTTTTATAGTAGTTTATCCCAATAAATGTTTTTCCGTTAAATGTTAAAGTTTCCCATGTAACTTATTTTTTGGTTTCGAGAATTCTCACATTTCGCGTCGTTCTACTTTTTTGTGTTGATGTTCTTGTACGCCAGGTTAGACTGCCTGGGAAATCAGTCTCTCCACTCACGTGTCTCGATCGGCGGGGGTCTTTGAATAAGTGAGTTCCTCCGGTGATGATACTGGTGAGTGTTGTTTTCGTGAGTAGGTAGAACGACCGATAGCATCAACTATTCTCTCGTCGCGATTGTGGCGACCTCTTTGTGCGGAGAATCTCGATCCATCGTGCTGTTTGAGTTTTCTGTTTCGTTTTGAAATTAAATTTTTGGTTCTGATTGAACAAACCCGCCCTGAGGTCGGGTTTCTAGCCGGGCAAACAAGACTCGACGGACGGTCCTCCTTGGAGGTGGCGCTTAAGCCGTCCGTTTATCGAGCCAGGGAACGATCCAGAAGACGGAAAACCGTTAGCCGCGTTTTGCGCGCTACAAAATTTAGTCGTGAATGCTCACTAAGGGAATCCGGCGTTGATCCTTTTCTGAGCGACTCAATCCGGTAATTTGAAATTCTATTCCGTGGAACAAATAATATTTATTGATTGATTGCTTTTGAAATTGTAGGATGGGAAACACGCTTGCACCAGGAATTTGCGGAAAATGGCATCCTCAGGCAGCGGCGAATCGCCAGTAGGCCACGAGCATCAATCATGCACTGTCTATCGGAGACATTTCGTGGCCTACAGTGGTGCAAGATGTTAGAGAAGGCCCTAGCAGGTTTAGCTGACGGAACTGCCTATTCAATCCGACGAATATGCAGTGCGGAACCAGACAATGATATCAAATTTTGAATAAAAAATAGAGAAATAAATGAATTTGTAATTTTTAATTAAAAGGATGTTGCTATATTGAATATACTACTTTTGAAATAAAAATATTTAATTTTGGATTAAAATAACAATTATTTTCATTTAAAGTATACCGTACTTTCATGTCAAAATAATACGCATTTAATTTCAACCATGCCACGCTTTTAATTTGACAGTAGAACAATTTATTTGAAAGTTTAAACTTTTAAAAGTCATGAGAGGGCAACTTTTAAACTGACAGTTGACAAACTTTCGATTTAAAAGTTAACCGCTTTCTACCATTCTACTGCGGACTCACTCAAGGTGCTTGTCACTTGGGAGCCAGTGTGAATTGTCAAGCTGGAGCCAAATATTCAGAAGTAGCAAATGCAGTTACAGTTCTTATCTACCATCAAGCATTGTAATGATCTTTACTTTTTTATAACACATTCTTAATTTTAAGCTCAAAGACAAAAACCAACAGGCTCAGTGATGAAAGTATAAAGACCAGAATAATTTTTATGAGGCAGCTGAGTTTTCAATTACAGTATAACAAGCCTTTGCGAAACATGTATGTAAACAAACTTTGATAGAGTCATGGGGGTTCGAGCACTCCTGGCTCAGAGCTTTTGGCGAAAATCAACTGAAAAAGAGCAAACTAGTTTTAAACTTGAGAAAATTTTCAAGCAGTTTTCCATTGGCTTGCATAATAAAATTGGTCGACTCCGCAGTACCCAGCTTTCTACCAAAAAGAACTAACGCAAGCTTTTAATTTCACCGATGCTTTTATTAATTTTATTAACGATTTTTCTTTGTGTGTACTACACAATGTTTGTTTTGATTCGGTATGAAAGTTTGACAGATAAAATGAGGGGTTAGTGGATTTTCCTATGTTTCGAGGGGTGAATCGATTAGCTTGGGACCGAAGATAGTACCAGAGCTGAGCCAAAAAGTTGAGCACGTTTCTTCTGGACCTACTAGTCTTAGAGTTACCTCTATGGTTACACAGCTTTCCCCCGATGAACGCGTTGCCCACTGAGTTCCAACCACCGCTTTTTCTTGGTGGGTTTTCAACCAAGTGCTCTGATTTTCTGCGAGTGACTAGTTCTCCATTGGCACCGAGATTGGCACTACTCACAAGCAAAAAATCAAACCGACTGGATGAAACGCCGCCGAGAAAAAGCGGTGGGTGCAACTCAGTGGATAACGCGTTCTTCGGGGGATAGCTATATACAGAAAATCAGCTCAGTAATTAATCATGTTTTGTTGTTTTTGACATCATCCACATCCAGAGGGCCAGTCACTTTCGAATGTATGGGAATGGTAGGAAACCATTTGGAAATGCATGAAAATTTTCAGTTTTTATTCATTATCGTCTTTATGGACAGTTTTAGATGCACAAAAATTGCACGAGTACATTACTATGGTGATAAGGTAAACACTCGTTTATTTGTTTCCTTCTGTGAAAGCATGCTTAGTCACAAATCGTGGATTTTCTAATATTCTCCATACTGCAAAAATGATTTTCCTACCACTGAAGGGGCGACATCTCTCGGATCTTCAGTATAGCTACTACTCAAATCATATAATTAATTGGTTGCAGGGCAGCTGAGAAATTCCAGAGCAAATTGTGATTAGGGCGAAACAAGAAACATGTTAAAAAAAAATAGGAGAAATACCGAGCAAGTTTGCACGTTTACAAGCGGCGCCGGTGGTGTAGTGGTAAGTGTAATTGCCGCTCACCCCAGCAGTTCTGGGTTCAATCCCAGTCGGCGCCACCGGGATGTTCTGAGGCATAACATCTCTGATCAAGCCTTCCTTTGGAAGCTCGGTTTCAGCCGGTTTAGCAGAAAATTTCACTAATTGCACATTGTTAAATTTGATACTGGAGGTGCAAATTCTGCTGCAGGATGACCCGCATAAAAGCGAACCATAACTTGACATTACCGAAAATGGTTAAAAATGGTTTATAATCCCTGCTAAACTTTAACTGAAATGGTCATGGAACTTTACATGAACGCTTGTGTGATAAAGTTTTAACCTTATGTATTATGGTTCTTTGGAAGTGAACCTTACAAATAATGGGTTGTTAAGAACCATTTCCATTCAAAATAGATGTTTTCTTCATACATTTTCGGAGAGAGGACTATATTAAAACCTTTTTACTTATGGTTTGAGAACTTTAATGGTAATGGTTATGGTAGCCAGTAAGGTCCATTAATAGTTTAGTATTATCGGTCAACCTTACGTGGAATATATCGCGAATTGGTAATTAGTAATTTACAGGCAACCAATTCGCGATATATTCCACATAAAGTTGATGGATGTCACAAAACCAGCTATGAACCTTACCGACTACCATAACTATTACCATTAAAGTTCTCAAATCATAAATAAAATACTTCCTAGACCTTATATAAACGTCATTGGATTTGATGTGCATGTGTTCAGGGTGTGCAGCATTTAAGAGGAGATCAAATATGACGTTATAAAATTTTAGCATTTTTTGCTCCTCCCCTCCCGTCTGTTACATGCATGGTGTAACAAATTTTGGATCTCACACCTGTGCAAATAAATTAATCTATTAGTAAAATTATCCGAAGTTTGTGAAACTTTAAAATTTAAATCGTTTCTTTGCACTAATAGGATTATATATTATTTTTGAATGGTCTTATTAATTCATATGTTTTCTCGTTGGACGTCGCATTAATATACCCCTCCACCTTCCTCATGACACATAACCTCCCCCCCACCCACATAAAGAAAGGACGTCATTTTTTAATGGCCCCTAATGTAATTTACATCAAAACAAAAACGCAAAAGCTGCACTGTCATATAATTCTGCCGGTATCGATTCGGAAAATATTATTTTTCTTGGATTTTCAAGCGCTAAGATTTCCCGATAAAGTTGTAAAATGACGAAAAAACTTCTTATGTTGTTACCTCATGGTGCAGAGGAAATGGAGTTTGTTATTTGCGTTGACGTTCTGCGAAGATGTGGTGTAAGTACCTACTTAACGTAATACCGAAATTTTGATATTTCGAAAGGTCACCTTCTGTTTTTTTTAACCATCAATATTTACTCCAATAGGTCAACGTAACTGTTGCAGGAATCAGCGATAAAACGGTGAAGTGTTCCCGAGATGTAGTTATCAATGCAGATATAACTTTGGATGAGGCTGCGAATGTAAGTAAATCTATACTGCCCATAAAAGCATACCAGTCAAGTCACATCTTTGCTTGATTTCCTATTCTAATAGAACTATTATGCGTTTATGGGCAGTAAGCTAACTTCAAGCTACGAAGTATACACAATGTTTTAATTTATCCAGGAAGATTTCGACGCAATTGCTCTTCCGGGAGGTCTTGGTGGTTCTAAGGCCATGGCAGGTTCCTCAAAATTGGGCGAAGTGTTGAAGTCGTTTGAATCCAAAGGAAAGCTCATTGGTGCCATTTGTGCAGGTACATGATATAAAGTTGATTGAATACCGTCTGGGACAATTCAATTAGGTATTGTTTAATTGCTTTAACAGCTCCAACAGTGCTTTTGCATCATTCGATTGCCCTGGGAAAAACATTGACGTCGTATCCCTCCTTCAAGGATCAGTTTTCCGGCAAGTACACGTAAGTTAACGTCACATTTTTCTGCCTAGTTTGTACTACTTTTCTCTTGCTACGTTATTCCCGTTATTCCATAGCTATGTTGAGGACAAAACCGTGGTGGTTGATGGAAATCTTGTTACTAGCCGTGGCCCTGGTACAGCTTTCGATTTCGCATTGAAGCTTGGTGAGATTCTTGTTGGCTTGGACAAGGCAAAGCAAGTTGCTTCCGCAATGCTATACAATATAAACTAACTACCGCTACTTCCTAAACAAATTAGTTTTGTTATCTTATATTGCCAATTTAGAGAAAACAAGGGTTGTAACTAATAACCGTATCATATGGGTCCAAAGCTGAACTCTATTTTTCTCTGAACTGGTAAAAAAATCATATTTTCTTCTGTCTTGATAAAGAATAAGTGTATTTTGAAATAAGGTTGTTATAAAATCACCTTGTCAATTATCCGAAGTCCTTCTTTTAAGTTCTCTTTATTCTTCTAACTTTGTCTTTAATTATTGATATTTAACAAGCGTTTTACGATCACCATAATTCAATCAAACTAATCAGCCCTCAGTTTTACTGTCAAAATTAGGTGAGTGGTAGAAGGACATAGCTTGATCTGAATCGAGAAAAGACATAACAAAAAAATCCCATTAACACACGTGTATCATCTTCGGTTTTACTTCGTGAAGCAGTTTGCCAACAATTTACTCGTTTCCTTCTACCGCACCGAGTGTTCTGTGTCGCACGAGCTGCAAGTCATGAAAAAAAAAATAAGGAAGAATATGTATGTAAGGTAGCCACCATCCCTTCGAAGATCTTGTCTTGTATGGAGCTGCACTTAATAGCAAGATCAATTTGAGCTACCGATCTGAATTCACAATATCGCTGTATGAAGGGCCGAAAACGGTGGGGTGGACCCGTAAGCAGAGGCACTTACGCGAAATCCACGGGAATTTAAGAATCTCCTTCCAACGATACGATCCAACAAATCGAATAACGCAATTCGCAATACAGGATGGTTTGTTAAGAAGGGCGCGTCAATCTCCATGAAACTGTTGGAGTAGAATTCACACCATCACAATCGAATCGGTAGGATAAAGAAAATGATAGTGTTTATTCCCTCCTAGACTCCGGTTGTCATACCACTCCAATCGTCCAGTTCCAGGTCAAATGATACCCTGATGCTCCCTCCCAACCCAGTATTTATTTATATATATAGTAAACATATGTAATGGAGAAATGAAAGATATCAGAACATTAAAATACGTAATAATGAAAATAGATTTATATGGATAAAAAAAACTGGTATTCCGCAACGAAAATAATAATTATTTTACATACAATATGATGCAGCTCTATGTCTCCTCAGCTCCCAATAAGGAAGATGTAACCCTGAAATTTCCAGGTTATGTTATGCAAATAAATATGTTTAGCTAGAATGATACTTGATATGTTTGTGTTGTGTTATGTTGTGGGAGAGCTTAGGATTAAACCCATGATATTCTGCTCATTAAGCAAAACCGGTCCCTCTAAGGTTATCGAGCATCTCAAAACCAAAACACTCCACGGCAAAACATGGAATGTAATGAACAACAGAAATACGCGATAATTCATATATTTTCGGCATATGATGCAATATCACAACTGTTGATAAAAGGAACTGATCCCATCTTATTTAAGACCTGGATGACCTGAAATGTGTGTAACCGGGTTAATACTTATTTAAATGTAATGTAATATTGAAAATGCGTTATAATGCCATGTAACAAGATACAATAAACACAAGATTTTTACAAAACAGATAATGAACGATTCAGATTTCTTTTCAAGCTGGCACTATGCTTCCCTGGAGCCGCTTATAATAGCTAACATTAAGAATTAAGTATAATAAAATGTAATTTACAATAATACTAAATGATGTAAAGTTAATAATGAATGATATGTAGTACTATAAACACTATACATATACGATAACTAATAGCTAGCTTAGCTTAGATTGACTGCACATATCAATGGTTGCTACTCCGTGATTGATCAGAATCAGTGAAATTGTACAATAAATCAACTGAATGGGGCTGGGAGTGACCGTCCATTCTCATTGTACAAGTTTCAGTGACTCTATATGTTGTAGATCAATAACGGCGCCGGCCACGTCCTTGCAATCAGGTGAGAGTAGGGAAGGAATATTAGAGTGACCTTTGTTGTTTGTGGGCCGTGTTTACCTCTGCACTCCAACAAAAGACACAGAAAAGGAGAATTTGTTAGTAAGTTGGGTTCGTTGGATCAGGATTCACCTTGATAAGTGATGCGACCATGGTTTTAAATGAATCAGTGTTATCATGCATTATACTTGGATTAGCCCGAAGCCAAAACCAAATGGTGTATCCTTGGGCCTTATTTCGGGTGTCACTACACGGTGATAAGCAAGTGATACTCAGAATAAGAGCCGTGATTACCGTACAAATCAAATGGGAATCACTTCACCGTGACGACAAGTGACAACAAGTGACAACTTTTCACCGTGATGTGACACCCGTAATAAGCCCCATTATAATATAAATCTGAAGACGTTCCATCATCGAAATGCTGAAAATAAACTTAGAGCATGAGCATGAGCAAAATTGATCGCCCGCGACTGCCAACACCAAAGAGCTGAAAACCAATTCAAACAAATCAAATCAACAAACAAAACTAGGGTGAAAGCTGTAAGAGTGAATCATTACAGTATAAATCTAATGATGTTCCGTCATCAAAGACCTGGAAGAAAACTCAAATAATTTAAATCAATAGATCCAGTCTGAATGAAGGCTGCAAAAAGAGAATAATTATGCAGCAATGACCCCATTTTGTCAGCTAGCAAAGTATGCGTATCTTAAACATTCATCTTGAAGGAGGAAGGTATGAAATTACAATTATGTGGAATTATTGAAAAATAACAGTATGATGCGCGGAGAGGTTGACAGGATCGGGTCATAACTGTAATGTGAATATAAGAAAGATTTATCATCATCAAACTATTCTTGAATTGACCTGGAAGAATGCTTGTGAATAATTGTTATACAGATAAATTAAATTGATAAACGAAATGGTTCAAACAACAACTCCAGCCTGTAAAAAAGCTGAAAATAGGGAATCTTTACAATGTGGATCCCCCACGGTCTTCTACTCAGTAAGCAAAAGCGGCAGTCATCAGACTAGTCGAGCTGCTCAATTTAAATATTGAAACCTTATTTTGTGAAGTTCTTAAGAATACCGATTGAAACACAATATAAACAAATAAAAGTTAAGAGTCTCATCCGAATCAAATGATTCCAAACGATACGCATTCATAGAAATTAAGTTTAAATAGACAAAAGTAGAAAAAAGGAACAATCTCACCAAATCAGTCAAACTGAATCCCTTGCAAGCAGCTATGTCACGCTTGGTGTAGTAGCTCCGATCATAGACCCGCCCTACGGGGATCAATCCTCTGGTCGAATGTAGTCGATTGCTCCATAACGCGAACACGTAGCGACCGCCCACAAAATCATACAACGCGTAAACAAACTGAAATCAAAAACTATCACACGCGACGCCACAAATTTCTGTACCAGGAGCACAAGCGAAGAAAAAAACAAACAACGCAGATAGCGACATCTCTTCTGATGCCTGCAAACATGATGCATCACGTTTTCTTTTTCGATTCCAAAACTTCTTGGAAAGCGGGAAAACCACCAATCACACACGTATAACCGTCCGGGAGGCAGAGTGCCAGCGCTAATCTGGCAAAATCAGCGAACGCACGCACAAAACAGAAACAAACTTATACACAACCGTATCCGAAGAGGTTCAAAGCTGAACTGAAAAAAAAATAAGGAAGAATATTATATCCGAGATTATATCATTATTGCTTTCCACTTCTGATATAGCGCTATCATTCGGTTCGTTGATCGTTTGTCATTTTGTCATTTGAAGATATTTTCGATTCCTTGACCAAAATGAAAAAAAAAAATCACGAATGGAACATAAACGTTGCTGGTTAATAATAGTAATTTCGTTAATAATAAACAAAAGAAGTAATCAATATGTTATTATAACTACGGTAGAAAAAAATGTTTTTACTTTGATATCATGACATCAAATTTAGTAATCTGAATGTTTTGAAATCGATTGGTTGATATCAAGATTCAAAATCAAAAAATGTTGTCAATAAACTGCGAATGTTGCCTATTAAAGTACAGAACTGGAAATAATCATCCAGTGGTACAAATTTCAAGAAAGTAAAGGGTGATACGGTCAAAATTTGGTCAATATCAACTTGACGTATTTCTTTCAATTTTGCATTTAAAAAACCTGAACACCCCTCATTTTGAAGGTGTGTGTGTGTAGAATGTTGCTCCTATTTTGATTTTGGAATTCACTCTTCAGTTGTCAAAATGCCGTCCAAGCAAGAAGAGCAGCGTATCAAAATTTTGCTCGCGCATCGCGAAAATCCGAGCTACTCGCACGCAAAGTTGGCAAAATCGCTAAAAGTTGCCAAATCAACCGTTACAAATGTAATTAAAGTGTTTGGGGAACGTTTGTCGACAGCCAGGAAGTCTGGATCGGGGGGAAATCGAAAACCGGAAGCCGCTGAGACGACAAAGAGAGTTGCCGGTAGTTTCAAGCGAAATCCTAACCTCTCTCTCCGAGATGCCGCAAATAAGCTGGGTGTATCGTCTACAACCGTGCATCGAGCCAAAAAACGAGCCGGACTATCGACTTACAAGAAGGTAGTGACTCCAAATCGCGATGATAAACAAAATACGACGGCCAAAGCGCGATCCCGGAGGCTGTACACGACGATGCTGACGAAGTTTGACTGCGTGGTAATGGACGACGAAACCTACGTCAAAGCCGACTACAAGCAGCTTCCGGGACAGGAGTTTTATACGGCAAAAGGAAGGGGAAAGGTAGCAGATGTTTTCAAGCACATGAAACTGTCAAAGTTCGCAAAGAAATATCTGGTTTGGCAAGCCATCTGTACCTGTGGCTTGAAAAGCAGCATTTTCATAGCTTCCGGGACTGTCAACCAAGAAATTTACGTGAAAGAGTGTTTGAATAAACGTCTGCTGCCTTTCCTGAAGAAACACGGTTGTTCCGTACTGTTTTGGCCGGATTTGGCATCTTGCCATTACGGTAAAAAGGCCATGGAGTGGTACGCCGCCAACAACGTGCAGGTGGTTCCCAAGGACAAGAACCCTCCCAACACGCCAGAGCTCCGCCCAATTGAGAAATACTGGGCTATTGTCAAGCGGAACCTAAAG